GTTCCGAGAGGGGCGGCTCTGGCAGACCCGCGTGCAGATGAGCAAGGATGGGCTTAAGGAGTTGTTCTTGACGCAGATATTCCAGCATGGATTGCGCAACCGTAGCTAGAGGGGTGCTGGGCTTATTGGTGCAATGCATGTGGTCAGCGGAGCTGACATTGCCCGCACCGTCGCAAACAGGAGAGCGTTTGCAGTGGAAAGTGGATGCTCCTAGGCTGTGCAGAGCGTGCAGGGGCAATGGAGCAGAAAGCGACTGTGACGTCACATCTGTGGTGCAGAGGGAAGCCAAGGAATGCAAATCTGGGATGCCGTCCGATTGCAGTTTGCTGTGCAGGGAACAGCTAACCCCTAGGAGCATGCGATGAGGCGAGCGCGTCCATGTGCACGTGGCTGCGAGTTCTTGGGCAAGTTGCAGGTACATGTCAAAAATGTCTTCCGTGGAGGGCTGCGGGAATGCAAAGATGACATGTGCACCTTGAAGGTGGGCAGCGCGATGCAGGGCGCAGAGACTGCGATGGAAAGATGCTGAATAGGAACTGGTGTCGCCAAGAATGCATAGCACTGCGAGGATGCCAGACCAAGCCGCTCCCTGCATGGAGGCTAAGATGTCCGGATGCCAATGACCTTCCGGGGTTTGCAAGGCAGGTGGAGAAGCGAATCGGTGCAGGGACTGGTTGATTTGCTTGGCATCCTGGAAAAGGTCCGGCGGCCAAAAGAGGAGATAGCGGGCTGGGGGGGTGCAAGTGGAGGCAGCTGAGGTTGGAGCGGGGCCACCGGAGTCGCTGTCAGCAGACTCTGAAGCATCACTGGCCGACGAGTTGCTGTGCTGTGGGGAAGGCTGGGCAGGTTTGTGAGCTAAGGCAGGCGAGGCCGGGCAGGGTGGCTTAGCAACCTGAGCTTTAGGGGGGCTGCGGGACCTAGAGCCACTAGGTGAGGTGCAGGGGGAGGCTGAGCAGGATGCGCAGGAGCGCGAGAGAGGCGAGAGGCTGCGCTTGTTCCGGGCTGCGGGCAAGAGATTGCTCCCGGATGCGATCTCCTGCGGTTCTCAAGACGGACTGGGCTTTTCCACTTTGTGGTTGCACGCTGCGTGATTTTTTCCGCAAGGCTGGCCGGAGGGCAATTTAAATGCGCACTTGTGTTCAAACTTGCAGTTCTTGTTTGTGCAATTGCCCTTGTTGAAGCGGATGCAGAGAGTCTTGTCGCCAAGTTTGGTGGCGAGCAGTGCGGTTTGCTGGTTGCCTGAGTTGGGAGTGCGGGGCTGTTTGCCGGGCTGTCGCACTCCTTTGCCGTTTGCTTTGCCGCCTTTACCGCGGATGCGGTCTTCCCTGGTGGGGCGGAGGGGCGGTGCGGGTGGCATGGGCTTGGCACGAAGTTGCAGTAGGGAACTGATGTCCGAGCGGACACTAGTGATTTCATGCAAGGCATCATCCAGGGACCACCCGGAGCTGTGCAGTGCGGCAATCTCTTGCCAGATCTTCCGATCGGCTACGAGAAGCTCTTGCGTGGTAACGGTGCGTAAATGCAAGTCTGGAGCAACGGTTTGCGTTGCGAGGTCGAGAACCTTTTTGTCAAACGCCTTCAAGCGCTGCAGGTGCGCTCCGTTGCATATTGCGATAGCGTTGCGAAAGACTGTTTGCACGCGTTGCAACCAGGCGGAGCTGAGGCGAAGGTGATCGACAGCCATTTCGGGCGTGTCGTCGAAAAATGCGGTGCTGATGAGATGGGCTTCAGTGCGGATTTGCTTGGTGGCTTTGCTCTGTATGATTTCGTCATACTGCTTTGCAGACAGGCGGAGCTGCCATGGGATCCAGGTGATGGTGTGTCCCGGTTGAAACCACCGATGGACCAGGCTGAGCAGACGAATGCTTGGCATAGCGTCGCTGTCGAGGTGTTCGCCAGGAAAGGCGTCCTTAAAGGCTTGCACCAGGCGTTGCACGGCAGATTGATCAAGGCGGGGCGGGGCGTGTTCTGCCCAAGAGTTTGCGGGACTAGGGGCAACGGGTGCAAAGGCTTGCTGTGCTGGTTGCGATTGTGGCGGCGTTGGTGCTGAAGCGGCTTTGGCCTGCTGCAGAGCCTTGCGGAGGCGAGCCATGGCAGGGGAGATGCGGGGCACAGGTGCATCTAGCTCCAGCCAGATATGCGCGTAGTCGTCGCCGCAGAAATGGTCCAGATCAGCTGTTTCTGAGAAGGCATATGCGAAATCCGACACAGATTCAATGCCGGTGCTGTGCAGGGCTGTGGACAGCGAGTCCGGAACTTGGCATGATTGAAGCAATTGGGCAAGGGCGCTTGCCGGCACAGGCGGTGCATCTTCGAAAGAGAGATCCGCTGCCATCGAGGAGCGGGAGTGCTGAAGGCGAGTGAAGTAGATTCGAGCCAAAAGACTAGAAGTGCAGAGAAACATAGCTGCGAGCTAAGCCGAAGTGCAGAGAGAGAGGCGAGGCAGGCAGCGAGCCGAGTAGGCCTTGAACAGCATGATGTCGACGAGCAGCCAGTACCTGACAGGGGGCAAAGGGGAAGGCAACCCGAACAAAGAAAAGGAAGAGGGGCAGGGAAGGAGGTACGGGGCAAAGGGCAAGAGCACAGGCGCTTTTGGCAGCATGCGGCTGAGGTCAGGTGTGCGAGGCTGCGAGTCGCAGGGCGACGCATGCTTTGCGTCTGCAGAAAGGGCCCTGGGGGGCTGCGCTGGTGAGAGACCCCAAACCCAAACGGGTGCCGCAGGCCGGCCGCAGTGTGCCGTCTCCGGTGTCGTTGTTGAGAAGGCTGTGCCAGCAAGCCCACGGGCCATTGCATGCGAACAGAGCATTTTCTGTGCAGAGAGGCAAGGGAGGCGGGAGTGCAGCGGCGTCGTCTGAGTCCATTTCTGATGCGCTGGCGGAATCGGGGCTGGGCGGGGCATTGCGGGCAGCGCGTTCCACCAGCATGGCTTCCTCGTCGTCCGAGAAGCCGGAGATAGGATCATCCCCTGAAAAGTGCTCGATTGGATCGTCCAGCAAAGAATCAAGATGTTGTTGCACGGCGTCTGAGCTGGAGGTATTTGCTGGAGCAGGTGAAGGAGGCGATTGCATTGCGTGCAGGTGTTCATGCCGAGTGGCGAAGCGGGACCACGGGCCGTTAAGGATGTCCTCGGGCCGGACCGAGTGAAGCACAGGGCCCGGAGCGATGCTGAAAGGAGGTTCAGGAACAGGAGCTTGGCCGCCACGGGCAATGCTGCGTTGCGGGCGCCAGCCGGTGCTGACGGCCGTGGCGAGGTCTTCTTGGACGTCAAGACTGGCAAAGGTGTCGTTGCGGGAGTAGAGCGCAGCGCTGTCACGGTGGTGGCCTTGTGCGAGGCGGGAGTCTTTGGGGGCACGGCGTTGTGCCGCGGCCGCCAAAAGTGTGGATTTGAGGCTATGCAAGGTGAGAGACCTGGCCTCAGAAGGGAGCAGCCCGGCACCAGAAGGCCAGTTGCAAGTGCAGGCCCACCGAAGAGAGAGCAGAGCTGTGCAGTAGCTAGCTGGCGCCAGCTGTTCAAGGCAAAGGCGACTGGGTGCAGTATGGAACCAAAGGAAATCAATTTGCGCGAAAGAGTCATAAAAGCGGTGCGTGGCTTGCAGGATGGCGTCTAGCCAATGCAGCACCCAGGCGGTGCCGACATCACGCCCGGAGAGTCCCCCTAGGCGGCAGGCCCAAGGCTGACCTTGGGAGGTAGTCTTTGTGGCGTAGCAGGTGCCGTGCAGGGCCTGGCATGTGAGCGAAAGGCTGGAGAGGTCTATGCGTTGCAGGTCAGCAAAGCGCAGGCTGCAGTGTAGTGCGAGGAGCGCTGCTCCAAGGATGAGGCGAGTAGTAAGCGGTGCCTGGTGGTCGCAGACGCGACGCTCCCAACTGACAACTAGCGACAGAGGGATCGGTAGAGCCTCTTTCCGATCCCTAGCTGAGCTGGAGAACGTGTAGGCGGTGATGACAGGGCTGCAAAGGGCGGTGCCGAGAGCCTGCCATTGGGCATGCTTGGCGAGCCATCGAAGAGCTTTAATGCAGGAAGGCACGGTCATCTGATGGATTTCGCGATCTTGCTTTGCTGAGGCGCGGGCCGCAGAGATGAAGTCCAAGATGACGTGAAGTGCCAGAGCAGCTGGCAGGATGCAGGAGCTATGAAGGAAGGCGAAGAAATTAAAGGTAACCCGGAAGTAGCGTTCCAAGGTACCTGGAGAGAAAGGCCGCAGCACTGCAAGCATGTGCTGTTGTGCTTGGGAGCTTTGCTGCAAGGATTGCCAAAGAGAGGAAGCCCCGGCCAGGATCCCCAGGATTTGCGTCCAGGCAGTGTGGCGGGCCTGGCGGCGCATGTCGTGCTGGCGGCGGCTGAAAGACATGGGTACCCCCTGGACGCGAGGGACCGGGATAGGCGGTTGGGCTGCAGGAGGAGGCGAAGGGTGAGCTGTGCGCCGGGGCATCCGGTTGGGTTTTATGAAAGTTGAGGCTGCGTGGCATGGCTCGGGCCGGCGGCGGGGGGCGGCCCCCACGGGGAAGAGGCGGTGCCGAACCTGACTTAGGGAAAGTGCTGGAGCGAACCAGCAGGTTGAGAGGTAGACACAAGTGGAGTAGCTAATTCCCTTGTCCCATACTCCCCAGAACCCTGCATGGCTCACTCAGAGGCGGAGATTTTACACGCAAGCAAAAGACTGAAGTTAGTGCTACGTTGGGCGTGGCACCTACAACTATGGTACATGTGTTTTGTTTAAAAGCGTGCTCAAGGCTCAAACTGTGCATAGCCTAAAGAGCGACGGAAAAATGAACATGTACAACTAGCATGCGGCATGAGCTGCAAAGGTGGCATGCACTTCAGCACTCCTCCTTCGCCGCCCCGCCAGGGAGCTGCGACCTACTTGCTACTGCAGGTCCAACCCGTCAGGGTGACGACACACCTACCCTGAACTACGTGGCAAAAGCTGGGCCAACTGCCCTCACTATGCGAGGGCTCTCAAGGCACCTCGTGTGGGAAAAAGACACAGCTACGGATGAGCTCACTGAGAGATCCAACCCGTTAGGGTGGAGTAGTTCCTACCCTGTGCTGTGCTGGGTGTGGTCTGCAGCGCTCCCGTGGCACTGCTGGCACACTTGAAACTCAACAAACCTGTGCGAGTGGGCGAGCGTGGAACAGGTCTTAGTGCGGTGGAGCTTGGTCCCTTCGGGTGATGCAAAGTAACGCGTTGGTGCTCCACCTGCCTGCTCACGCGTGCGAGTTGTTTGTGAGGGGCGGCGTCTGGGCGCTGCAGCAACAGACTGCGAGCTTGCTGCCTCCTCACGTGCAGAGATCTCGGCCTGGATGGCCTGCGCAGTTTGATCTCGAAAGCGCTGTAACTTGCGCGCCTTGCGGGGGCTCAGAGACAACACGGGTGTCCCTGCCTCTCGGCGGGAGATGATGCCTTGAAGGCACCACTTGAAGAACTCCCACACTGCAATGAAGCAGATACCAATGCAGATGATGGATACTGCCAACATCAAATCTGCATCAAGCGACACGGGGAGAGACAAGTCTTCTTCCTCGTCCGTTGTCTGGCTGGCAGCACCTACGACCTGAAAGAAGGCGAGCAGGACAGCGAAGGCACTCAGCTGCAGGTCTTGCTGCGCCACGGTCCCAGTGCCCACAGCTTGAGTTTCACTGTAGGCCTGAGCTTCCGCCCGGCGAGGTACGCCATGCTCAAGCAAACCCCAGATGGCTGCGAGCTCAAGGATCCTCGCAGATGGCAGTGCTTTCGTCAGAAGATCTGCGGCCTGCTCAACACCTGGGCAGTAAACAGGGATGATTTCTCCTGCCTCATACTGCTCGCGCAAGTAGTTGGCGCGCACCCTCAGGTGGCGGGTTCGCCAAGACCCGTGACCGATAGCGATGGCCAGTGCAGACTGTGAGTCAACCCTCAAAGTCTTGTCGAAGCTAGAAACCCCGAACTCACTCAGCATGGCCTCTGCTGACTGAAGGGCAACTACAGCGTCAAGTCCAGCAACAAGCTCGGCTTCTGCGGTGCTGAGGGTGACAAAAGACTGTCGTGCTGAACGCCAGCACACCGGCGACCCGTGAAGGAAAACCACCCACCCCGTGTGAGAACGATTCCCTTCCGGCGCATAGCTGGCGTCACTATACGCGATCAATCCTGTGTCATCCGCGTCAGCGGTGAGGGATAGCGCCATGGTACGCTGCACATACGCAAGGGCCTTTTCTGCAATGCGGATGGCTCGTTGCGGCGCCTTCGTGCTGAGAGAGGCAAGCACACAAGCAGTGAAAGCTAAGTCAGGCCGGGTGCGCTGGCTCAGCCACAGGATTTCTCCAGTCAGTCTCTGCGCTGTTCGAACGGTCTCCTCGGTTGGGGACTCGTCCGTCAGGAGAGTGTCAAACGAAACAAGGTCACGCGGACAGGGGACCTTACCTAGTGCAGTGGGCTTCACGTCGTTGAGACGCAGCAGCTCTTCGGCGTAAGCCTGCTGGGACAACACAAACCCGGAACCTTGCACTAGGATTTCAACCCCTAAAAACCTCAGCGGGTGCTCTGCGGTGGCAAGTGCGAGAGGCGTCGTTTTCCAGATGCCCTGGATGGCCGTAGCCAAGGCTTCGATCACCTCTTTGCTGCCTGCAAGCAAAAAGTCGTCAACGTAAGTGAGCAACCCTCCGACGACTACCCCATCAGAGGTGCGAACAACACGCCACCAGTTTGGGTCCAACCTTCCTTGCTGGAGCTGCAGCTCAACTCCGTCAACAACACACCTCAGCGCCCGAAGTTGGCAGTCCCTGAAGTCCGACCAAAGCTTAGGCGATTCCCTCAACCCGTACACAGCGTGCGTGAGGATCCAAAGCTCCCCTTCCTCTGCCAAACCTAGTCTCACTAGCAACCTAGGCGGCGTGAGAGCAAACACTGGAAAACCTCTGCCTTGCGGGATTGGCGTCAACAGAAAAGCTGAGGTGACATCTAGAGACCCGATGCACCAATTCCTCTTGGAGCTGATGATTACAAAACAACGGAGTGTCTCTGCAGCAGCACCTGAAGCGTAGACTTCGGACCCCGTGCCTGGGGCGTGGTTGCCACAAGCAACCAGGCGAGCCTTGCGCTTGTGGTAAGCCTGACCCTTCCGGGTAGCGAGGGAGGCTTCAGCAGGGTCTGGTGGCTTGACTGTGAACACAAATTTAGACGGAACCACCTTCACTTCCTTGCGCTTTAGCCAACCTCCGGAACGGACCTCTGCAGGGGGCAGTCGCCGCACAGCCTTCTCAATGACACCGATCTCCTTGTGAATGGACGGCATCCACTTCTCGATGCATTGCTCTGCATCCCGAGGGTCTACAGTGTGGACTACCTGCAGTGGTTCTTGCAACCCGTCAAGCAACAGCTCTACGTTGGTAGTGTAAACCGGCTCAGACTTGCAAAGGGCACAAGCTTCACTCGCGTCCGAGTCGTCAGACCTGAGAACACACAGCTGCTCACCTGTCTGCGGGTGTGGAACCCACAACTCCCACAGCACTGGTTGTTCCGGCAAGGAGTCTTCGCTTAAGCCCTCCTCCTCCTCCTCAACCTGTGTCTCGGTGTCTGGTTGGCAAGCCAGCAGGGCGTGCTCAGACTGGGTTCGCCTTTGGTCCGGCGAGTGTTTCAGGTTCCACGACACCTCCAGCTCGACAGTACCTGCTTCTACGGCTTGGGTTTCTTTCCAACCTCCGCCTTTAAGCACAGTCCCAGGCGCTAACTCAGAAGTCTTCCCGTCAGGGTGACGTGCCTTTGTCTCCTGAAGGGGCTCTTCTTCGAAGCAGTCAAACGCGTCTAGACGTCTCACGTCTTGCTGCTCAGTCAGCGGTAACCGACGCTGGGAGTGGAAAACCTAAAGCTTCAAGGCTTTGAAACTCGTGCTCAAGCTCTTTGCCTAACGTGTTGACAGTGTAGCCGACAAGCACTGCTCTCTCACCCCTTCCAGGGAGTGGTGGCATGGCGGCGAGTAGGGTCTAGGAAGAAGGGCTTACCGCGCTCTAACTTGTGAGTTGTCCCTAACCAGCGCCTACCTTTGCCGTCTACCCGCTCCTCTACAGGGCCACTGACTAGGTCACCAGGCTTGAGTTCTATCCACAAATCCCCTCCGTTAGGCGGGAGCTTCAAAGGGAGGACTACATTTGTGGATCCCTGCAGGTTGTGGTGGTCGGCGTGCACGGGTTGAACAGTGGAATTAGACAACCAAAGCGAGGTGTACTCAGCTGTGGGTGCAACTGCGGAAAGCACCATATTCATAAGCTCTGTCAGCCAAGGCTTATCTGTGGTACCCCCTAAAACTCCTACGACACCTCCGTGACGGTACAACCCAGCTTTGTGTTGCAGCTGGGGCGCTGCTCTGCACACTTCGGCTAACACCCACAACGCTTCATCAAGGTCCCAGTCGTCCTCGATAAGCTCCGTAGCTAAACCTTCGAGGTCTTGCAGACTCAAGCGCGCTACACGGGCAGACTCCTCCTCAACCGGTGACACAGGCCCTTCCGGGTGTGGAGCTTCTGCTGGCGGCGGCAAGGGAGGCGGCGGGTCAAGTGCAAAGACGTCGTCAAGTCTCACACCAGCAGACCGCTTGCCGCGAACCCTGCGTGGAGGTGGTGTGTGCTCCTCCTCAAGCGAGTCTCCTACAAACTGCAAGGGCGGTGGATCCGGAGAAACAAGGCGGGTGCGAACATGGAGTGTTTGCACAAAGCCGTTGCCAACACCATCGCTGCGCAACACGATGTGACCATCATTCACAGATGGTGACAACCCCATATACTTACCTTCAACCCATCTATCCTCCAAATCACCCTTCTTGCTAAAAAACTTTCGCTTCACGGAACACTTCCCTCCAAAATGGATGGCAAGCTTGGACTTCATGCCCAGCTGCTGCGCCCGTTGCTGAGCTGCAGCTGTCATGATTGCACAAGGCCACAAGGACGAGTCGACCTCGCCAGAGGTGAGAAGGGTTCGTGCTCGTGCTTTGAGCCAGCGCACGGTGTTCTCAGCAGAGCCGTTCTGCTGCGGAACGTCTCCTTCTGTTGTTGTTGTGCGGACTCCACGCTCGTGAAACCAAGCTCGAGTCCTTTTGTTGAAGAACTCACGACTGCGGTCTGTGTGGAAACGAAGCACGGGGAGGTTTAGGGACCTTAGGGAAATGTACACCTGTTGGAGGGCATTTAGGATATCATCACCCTTGTTTGTGTGAAGTGGCACTGCAAACACCAGCCTCGCCATGTCAGGCGGTGTTTCGAGTTCACACCTGGCTGACTCCCAGGGATGCTCCTCGGCAACTTTGGCTGCAAACTCCCTAGGCCCTTCAACTCCTTCACCTTCCCCCTCCTCCTCTTCTTCCGCTAAACTTGGCTCGTACAGGGAGTCCTCGTAATCCTCGTGCGGGGGGCCTTCTGCTGCGGGAAAGGCCTCATCTGCAAGGTCATCCGTCCCTCCCGGGAGGAGTGCTGCATCATCAAACCCCTCGGTTTGGCTGGGGTCTGACTCCTCCTTCACTCCTTTGAGCCGTGGGAAGCGGTACGACACAGCGAGGAAGTACTTGAACGTGGCTGGTCGGTGGTTGCGGCTTTCTGGGTCTTTGCCCTTCACACGGATGGGCCCCGCAATGTCGGCTGACATGCAATACACATCCGGGTGAACTACACCGTGGTGGCGGCGGCCGTTTCCGGCACCGTGCACGCAAACTGCACAATCACGGCGGTACGGCACGTGATTGTTCGCAACATGCTGTTCCCAATCCGCTTGGGTGAATTTCATGATGCGGTAACAGGGCCAACGTTGGAGTGCGTACACGATGGCTTGCACAAACCCCGGCGCCCACACTGGAGACACACGGCTGTCGGCGCTACCACAAACCTGCGATACCTCACCCTGAAACGCTTGCAAGTCTCTAAGGTCGGGCAAGTTGGTGCCAACAGTTGTGGGTTTATCGCCCGCGTGTCCCAACGGACCTTGACGGAAATGCACCTCAAACAAACCAGCCTCTTCAGCGTAAGTTTGCCACAGCGCGGTATTCCAAAACGACGGGGCGCTACCCACAGCAGAATGGCTTGAAGCCATGTGGTGTTCAACCGACGGTTGCTCCAACATGAATGCCACCATGGATGTTCCATCCGACGGGTTAGGGTGCACACGCCTCCCGGCGGTGGAAAGTGCATGCAACCACAACATGCGAGCATACAAACCCGTATCACGATCAACGAGATCACGCTCGTCAGAGGTGAGAGTGCTCAGGCCAAACGGTTCAGTGGGCGAGCGGAGTGGATGTGGTCCATCGGCGCGGTGCCCTGACATGGACCACGTGCGGGTTGGTGGACCTCCAATGACCGCCGCAACTCGTCCCAACTTTGCAACCTTAGCAAGAAGCGTCCAAAGCGGATCATGGTAAAGATCTTGGCTCCTTGAGCGGCAAATGTCAAGCTCAACAACAACTGTATCCTGCGACTCCAATCGTTTGAAAGCCTTGTGCGAGCCAGGGCCCGCAAACAAGTGAACAACCCAATTGGATGCTCGATGAAGTGCCTTCCTCCTTCGCCGGTTGAGGTTTGGCATACCTTCTTCAAGAGCTTTCCACAAAGTCTTGGAGTCCACATCTTCCGATGGGAGTAGGCCTGACAATGCACGATCGGGCACATCCTGAAAGAATGGCGCCGTGGATACTGCCATGTGGCCCGCTGCTGGCGCTGACGAGCTAACATGCTCCACCAAATGATCCCACCATGTGCGCTGCATCGCGATTTTCGCCTGTCTGATGCGATCCTTCCCCTCATCCGTTCTTCGCCTGAGCTCCTCAACCTGTTGCATTTTGTGTTCCTCCAACCGTGATATCAGCGTAAGGGCCTGGCTCTCTACCAATTCCGGGCAACCATTTTTGACCCTAAGCCTCAACGACTTACCATCGGGAGGATACAGCTTGCAACTACCGGCTGACCAAACCAGTTTATACCCAAGTTGCTCGATGATTGCGCCCATTGGGACTATTGGCTGCACTAGGCCATCCCTCCCGGGAGGCAGGAGCAAAGTACCTGAGGATGTGAGCCGCATTGTTGTGGTGGTATCGCCGGCTAGGCTCACCTGTACTTCCGATGCGGCCTCCCACTCCTCCTCATCCATGGCCTGCCTCATGGCATGGGTGGCCCCAGAGTCCAAAAGCGCATATGCTATGGGTTTGGGGGCCTCAAGCAACCCCCCATTCTCGGCTCGAGAATGGGGGTTTGCCAAACCCTGATTTTTTGCATTTCCCAACCCCCGGGTTGGAGCCTCCTGATGGGGGGGTTGGGAGTCCCGGTTTGGGAGACCCGAAACCGGGAAACAGCTTGCGGGCACGACTGAGCGAATCGTGAGCCTCTTCACCGAAGGATTGGGTGCAGACGATGCGGGCGCAGCCGGTGCCGGTGGCACTGAGGGCTGCTGCGATGCAGTACTCAAGCCTTCCGGCTGAGGTTGAGGCGGCTGGGCTTGCGGCGTGTGCACGGTGGATTGGCCTCCAACTGCCGCAAAGCCTGGACTGCCTGTTGCATGAAGGTTTCCATGTTGAGCACTGGCGTGGCTTGGACAACGGGTTGGCCCGAGGATGTGGGGGATGAGGCTGCCTGTACGGAAGGTTTTTGATCCGGTGCTTTGGGTTCCGCCTTACCGGCCTTGCAATCCTTAGCGCGATGCTCCTCGGAACCACAATTCAAGCACTTCTTAAACCGTTCCGCCTTAGACAACTCGTTCATGGAGTGTTGGCTTTTGCACTTGGACCCAAACCTACACCCCTTCGGCGAAAGGAAATACTTGCATGTGTTGGCATTCCCTCCACCTTTGCCTCCACTCCCCTTTCCCGGCTTATCCCCAGCAACACCAGCTGCCTTCAATGCCAGGTTACCTGATCCACCCTTTTTGGCAACATGAGCTCCAGCCAAAGTCTCAAACTCGGCCAACAAATGTTTGTGGTAGGATTTGACCGCCTCTTCCGAGGGTCGACCATGCAACTGCAGTGCACTTTTCACCATCTCGGTTCGCCATGAAACCTCCGGTTCCTTAGAGATGACGGGCTTTGTCATTGAGGTTAGGCCTCCCACCAACACCATTGGGTCCGGCAAACTCATACCAAAGTCTATGCACCTTTGATACCACCGTCCCCACGCCCTCAATGCTGACACACCTGAGGCTGCATCCTGCACCACATGGGGATTTTGCAAGTTGCTCAACACCAGGTTGCGTTCCCCTGTTCCCCCGGGCTGGTAGGTCGTAGACAGCCTAAACAAGATCTGTGATGCAGCTTGATTCGCTTTACGGGCTATGATATCGGATTTTACCGTGGGGTCCAGGGCATCTAAAAGCATCGCGCATGCACGGGCATTCACTCTCCCCCATTTGCCTTCCGTAAGCTCAGGCCTCTCATCAGGCTCAACCGTCAAGCGCTCGATGGGGGAAGCGACGACCCACTTATCGTACGCATCTTTGCTTATCTGGACTACCCCTGACCACCAAAGTTGAGAGGAATCCGAAAAGTCACTCATCAAGCCGGCAATGAGCTGCAACCAATCCTGGAATTCCAACGAACCTCCAGCGGGATCTGGTGGGGCTAATTTGGGGAAGGTCGTAATGCCCGTTTTTACCGTTTCTGGGGCATCCTCCTTCTTGCTACTGCTAAGGTGCTGGGCTTGCAAAGTTTGCAGCTGCTGCACTCCCAACAAAACGGCATCAAGCACGGTGTTGCCTGACATGGTAGGGCCTTGGGTTCCCCCCGGCGACACACTGGCTGCTCCTACTGGAGCCGTGCCGGCCTGTGGAATTGGGGCACTGGTGGCCGCAGCTGGCTGGAAACCAGAGCCCGAAGCCCTGATCTGGCCCAAACCCGGGTTTTCGGCTCGAGAATGGGGGTCTGGGCCAGAAGAGGTGGAATCCCCTTGCACACCCGGTAATGCGTTGCTGGGCTGCCCAACCCTTCCGGGTGGCGCTGCATTGCTAGGTAACCTTTGGGAACCTTGCAACCCCGACCAAAAGTTGGACCATAGCCCTACTGGTCATTGCCACTTCTCTCCTTACCTGTTCCCTAAGAGCTTGTTCCCTTTGTGCAGCCTCCTCCAGTTGCCTCCGCATCCTCTGTATTTCTAGGTCCTGAGCCTGCGCTCGCTGATCAAACCCGGCTAACTGCCTTGCAACCTCAGCTTGAATGGCTTCTTGAGGCAAAGACGATGAATCTGTTCTTGATTGGGGCCTCTCGGGCATACCCGCGCACAACAAAGGAGCCCTCTGTTCCAAAGCTTGCATGCGCTGCAACATGTCCGCGCTCAACAAAGGGCCATCCCTTCCGGGAGGCGGTGCAAAGGATGTTGGCGTACCATGCGCTCCCAACTGTGGTGGCGAGCTCGTATGAGAACCCAAACTCCCCTCTCCCAAGGCCATGGGCCCTGAAGCACCGCTCGGACTATCACGGGTATGTGATGCTGTTGTTCGTGGTGGTGTGGCGTGTGTGCCTTGCAACACTGCGGGTACCTGCACCACCTCAGCGCGCGCAACACGGAAAAAATCCCCAACTCGCGTCATAAGCTGGAGCCCTGTACTAGGGAAGCCCTCAACCATCTCAGCTATGGTTGGCAATCCCTGTTGCGATCGTGGGGTCACAAACCCCTCCGTGGAAGCACCAGCGACTACTCTACCCCCTGGCTCTGCGTCACCACTCGCGGTACCTAACATGCCAGTGCTGGCCTCTAGCCCTGGGCTCCCGCCCGGCGCAACATTGCCCGGTATCGGCACAACCATCTGTACCTCATCACCGCCTTCAGTGGCGGTCGACACTTGTGGCATTCCCCCTGAGTCTGCGCAAACCCCAGTCTGGTCTATGCCTCCAAGTGCCCCTCCCGTAGCCATAGGTTCAAAGCCCATTCCACCTGTTTGGCCATGTACAAGTGCCGGCGTTGAACCTGGTACATTTGGCATACCATCCCTCCCGGGAGGTGGGGATGGCTGCTGTGCTGTGGTGCCATAGCCCTGCCCAAGCGTTGGGCTCATAACCTGCTGGAGCGAACCAGCAGGTTGAGAGGTAGACACAAGTGGAGTAGCTAATTCCCTTGTCCCATACTCCCCAGAACCCTGCATGGCTCACTCAGAGGCGGAGATTTTACACGCAAGCAAAAGACTGAAGTTAGTGCTACGTTGGGCGTGGCACCTACAACTATGGTACATGTGTTTTGTTTAAAAGCGTGCTCAAGGCTCAAACTGTGCATAGCCTAAAGAGCGACGGAAAAATGAACATGTACAACTAGCATGCGGCATGAGCTGCAAAGGTGGCATGCACTTCAGCAGAAAGGCTTATTAGGACTAGGGCAACCCAAGGCGGGGGCTGGGTCGGCTGGGTACTTGACCACGCGACGAGGCGGGCGCGAAAGGCCTTGGGTGATGCTGTGCGGCAGTCGTGGCAGGTTACCTGTAAAGTCCACACGTATGGCGATTGCTGGCCGCTGTGGGGCTTTGCTGGTTAGCGGCAGGACCTGGGGCGAGGCAGGGGTATCCGGCAAAGTAGGTTCGGGCAGAGGGCTTAGGGTCCTAGCGAGACAAAACGGCAAAGCTGATTGCGATGCAGGTGTGCCTGGCGAGCTAAAGTCGTCCTCCGAGGCTGAATCACCAACTTCAAAGAAACCTAAGAACACAGGCAGGTGCGACGGTTCATCGTCTGACCCCGAGGCGTGTGGAGTTATTGCCATGCTTGGCTGAGTTGGCATTGCCGAGGGCGGTGGTGCAGTGCAAGGTGCAGGGTCCTCGAGGGAGCCGAATTTTCGTTTCCATCGCTGGCGCATATGGTGCAAGCGGGGCCGAGGCAAGCCAAAGGACACCGAGGCCCCGAACAAGATACGAGCGGGACCTGCCTTGAGCAAGAAGCCGGCTGATGCAACCTGAAGGCAGGCTAAGAAGAAAAGGCACGAAAGAAGTGCGGGCTAACAGAAGCGGCGTGCAAGTGCAGCAAAGCGGGGCACTGGAAGCCGAGGCAAATCCTGACAAGCCAGAAAAAACGGGAGCGTAGCGAGCGTCCAGAAAACTGTGCTGAGCAGAGCGCTGCAAGAACGTGCCTGGAACAGCTTGAAGATGAACCTGAGCAAGCGCAGAGAGCAATGGAAAAACCCAAAGGCAGCAACAATGCAGGAAGCAGGCGAGGCGGGCTGCGGCCGTACTTTTTTGCAGTGCGGTGCTGTGCGGGTGCGGGAGGGGAGCTCACTGCTCTTCCCTCTCTTCTTTGCTCTTGCAAATCGAGCAGCGGTGCTTATTATGCATCTCTGTTGCCAGAGGCTGTGCAAGGCGGAATGGTTTGCCACATGGCAAGCAATCTCCGGAGCTGTGCGAGGAGTCGCATTGGATTGCGCAGCAGGCCCGACCGTGGCGATCTCGATACCACGGTCGGGCCTGGCGGGTCCAGCGGACATCTGCTGGTGTGCGGTGCGATGCTTGGCTCCAGGTGCCGATTTGCGGTGCTTGGGTCAGGTCGTCCTCTGCGGGGACGTCGGCAGCAGCGATAAAATCTTCGTTGCGGGGCGGGGGGCGGCTCTCTCGCCGTTCTTTGGCAGTGCTGGGGCGGGGCTGAGGGTGCGGGGCGGGGGGAGCCGGTGCAGGATCGGCGCAGCGTTTTTCTTGCTGCGTGAACTGCTTGGGCCACACTGGCGCTGGTGGCGGTGCGGGGTTGACAAAGTCAAGCGGTGGCTGCTGCGCAGGATCCGACATATCGGCCCAAGACTGAGTAGCGGGGCCGGCGCATGGTGCAGGGTGCGGGGCTGCGAGAAACTGGTCTCCCACTGGTGTCAAGTAGAATGCACCAGGCGGGT